GGGGGGGTGATTTATGAGTGTAGCATCTCAACTGTCATACATGATGTTGTATAACGACGTGACTTTGCAGACTTTAATAAGGAAGCATTCTTCGGTATAGTACGAAACCCGCACAGCCGTTTCCTTGCTGGCTTGGCAGACAGACGAAAACTAGAGTAAAATAAAATTACCTCAAAACTATAGCACTAATATAAAGGTGATTTTATAAATTGATGCACATTCAGTTACCTTCTGTGGTATCTCTAAAAGGATCGCTCATTACAAACAAACAAACAAACAAACAAACAAAAAACTACCAAAAAACAAAACAAAACAGAAATTCTGATCTGGAATCTGGACTGCCGAGCAGATGTCACTTGTTGCTGAGTCCATTCTAATTTTAGCTTAAGGATACACAAAAACACATTCAGCAAATATTTAGGTCAGTAAGATATTCTTTAGAGTTGAACTTTAAGTGTCAATTTAAGCAAATACGAGAAGAATATTAATATAAGAACAAGACTGTACAGATGCTTTATATTACAATGTCACTTTATCCAAAAGCTAAACAAACATAACATTTGTTTTTATTCCACAAATTGCACAAAAACGATGGATGCAACCACCGTGACGTCATGGTTTCCCGACTATGTATTTGAAACCTCAGCATTAGCACAATTGGAGCACAAGATTCTCAGACAGGCTACACTGCACAGCATTTGTAGTATAATTCTGTTAACAAATGTCTAAAAGCCAAAGAGAGACATTTGACTGGTTGGATTTAGGGAACTGAATTAGTGCAGGTAAGGTTAATCAATGTTAATCAAAGCAGCCACATCCATAAATCTACACCTTACGAGAGAAACTATAACCAGAGATCAAACAGTGTTTGCAACACACTGTTGCAAACACAGTTTTAATGCTTCAAAGCTGAACATCTTAATGTGGACGTCTGAGAACTGGCTCGCTAATGGAGTCAACCTCAATTGCTTTTTAGACAAATTGCATTGGCTTCATTTTTCTGCCTCACAGGTTTCCACTTTTCATGTAGAGTATTTGTTATCTTTCCTTTATAAGGGCATATCTTTGATTATTACACAAATTATACATTAACAAACACTAGTTTCTACTCATAACAACACCACAGTTATAAGTCAGATCTTAGTGCATTGTATACTGTATTCTTAAAGTCTTGGCATCTACTGAGTTTGATTTTTTTTATCCGGTGCCAGCAACAACAAATTTACACTCCCACACATGAAACTGTGCAACCGACAAGAATTTCAAACATACCCTTCCATGCACACCCACCACTCACACACAGTCCCACAGGAGGACAGATGGAGAGGGGCAGAATGGGAACAGGGGCTTGTACAACTGGGCCGGTGTTTCCATTGTGCAGTAGGTGAGCCGTAAGTCTATCCTCTACTAATTGCCAGACCAGTTCAAACACAAAGTCTGCCACTGAAATCCAATCCTACGGGTGTTGTACAGTGAGTAAAGTTTACAATGTGTAACATTTTTCCCCCGTTGGCAAAAAATAGGGCACATGGAAGAGGAGGTGAGGGGATGGAGAGGAACGGCGAGGGCAAAGAAGGGGGGAACCAAGGAAGATGTGGACTGTGCCGGCGTCGGCGACACGGAGGATGTAACTGTAAATAGATCACTCACTATTTAGGCTGCATGTCTAATCTAGGGGATCCAGACTGAATGAAAGTGTAGCCGCTGTAGGTGGACTGGGTCCTGTAACGGGACACTGAGGAGGCACCGATAAGGAGACGAGGAGGAGTGACTGAGAGGTGATCCGCGGGAGAGAGAGGGGTGCTGTAAGGGGAGAGGTGACAGCGATGCAGATGATGTAAACAAGACGCGCAGAGTGTGTGCATGCGTTGCGTGAAGCCGTTTCGTAAACTGACAACGACCCAGCTACATCGCACATCACACAAAATCCAAACTGAGAGAGACGTGGAACGAGGCAGACTGCTAGGCAATGCAACACAGCGCCAGTCTGCATTTTGCACCCATTTGAACCTGTTTCTAATTAGGCATTAAACTGAATTACCAAACCCCGTTCTCCTAATGAGGGCTTTGGAGCTTTGATGCTCATATTCCCTCTCCCTCCCAAACTGTTTTCCCGAAGGTGAACATTCCATACGCTAATTTCAGTTTCATGCAGGAAAGACTTGTAGCCGCATGTGCTGTTTGTTTGTCAGAGCGGCAGTGTATCGGTATGGGCGTGTGTGTGTGTGCGTGCATTCTTTGCTTCGGTGTACATGTGCGCTGTTTGCATGTTTATGTGTGGTCTGGCTCCAGACCCTGTCACTCATCCTCTTTGACCTTTAGTAAGCTGTGAAATTCAATTTCAGGCTTGGCTTGCTTTTTGCGCTCAAACCTCCACCTGTGCTA